CACCAGCCGCAGGTAACACGGGTCTGGTTGGAGCACTTATATTCAAAAATAATGAAGATGTCAGACTTCTTTAAAAGAGGGTAGTGAATGATATGGAAAATATGACACTCATTACAGACACGGAGGTCCCTGCCTGCCAAGCTCCTCTGGCTTCACCTCCGCACGGGCAGGGCCGACAGAGGCCTTGGGGATGGGCGCAGACGGGCGGACGGGGACCAGCCTGGGGTGACCTGGACAGAAGAGCCCTCAGGGCAGCAGGAGAGGGGCCCGGGCACAGGCCCAGGGACGCCCACTGAGCTCCATCACGGCTACTCAGGAGAAGGGAGTTATCTGCTGTTTGTTTACCTAGAACCTTTATTTCTGACCCAGAGAAGAGAAAAAGAAAAAAAAGACTGGGGTCACAGTAGCTGGGGTAAACTTGAAAGTTGGAGACCTAGAGGGGTCTGCGGGGATGTGGGGGGCACGGCGGGGGAGCGGGGCCTGAGGGAGGGTAGCTGCGGGGGAAGGAGGGTGGCTGCGGGGCTGGGTGGTTGGGGGAAGCGGGGAGGAGGAGGGTAGCCGGGTTGGGGGAGGTCGGCTGGGAGAGCTGGGGGCCTCCCCGCCTCCGGCAGCGCCGCCGACCCTCTGTCCCGAACGACCCCGTCCACGTCGGCGCCCAGGACGCGCCCTCCCCCCGGGTCCCCGCCGCGAGCGCTGGGAGGAACCACGTCCGAGCCCAGGACGTCCCGCACCGAAGCCCGCCCGGCCGCAGGCGCCTCTGCCCGGGGCGCGCCGGGGACTCCTGGGGTCCCGGCGGAGCGACGAGGACGCAGAGGAGGCCTGGGCGCCCCGAAACCCCGACCCAGCCCTGCGCCCCCCGCACCGCGCGACCAGCCGCGCCCCCCGCGCCCTCCCGGCCCGACCCACCTGGGGCGGCCGCGGCGGCGCCCTCGTCCCGCTGGTTAAACTCGAAGAGGAACTCGAAGTCGAACTCCTGATCCTCCAGCCCCGTCATGGCGGGGCCGGGGCCGGGACCGGGTCCAGGTCGCCGCGGCCCGGGGTTCGGGGCTCGGGGCTCAGCGCGCCCGGAGCTGGCCGCGCGTCCTCCGCGTAACGTGACCCCCGCCCCTCCCCCGTTACCGCCCCGCCCCCGCCCCCCCGGGGCGTTTCCGGGTTTACATAAACAACCGGCTCGCGGCCGCCGGCTTCCGAGTTTTAAATAAACTCCCCGGGCGGAGCGCAGGCCGAGGGCTCGTGTCGCTCCCGCGCCCCCCGCCCCTCGCGCGCGCGTGCGACCCCTGGGGTCCCCGGCCTCTTGCGCTCTGGGGGTCCCAGCCCGACGCAGGCTCCTCCCGACATGGGGTGGGGGCATCGGGACCCCCGGCCACTCCGGCCTGGCCAGCTCGGCCCCAAGGGGGGGCAAGACCCGGAACCCCGCGGTTCCGCCCCCGGGGCACAGGCGGCACCAGGCTCACGAGGCTGCGCCCTGGGAGACCGAATTTGTTTAAAGTTTTTTTTTTTTAAGTTTGGAATTGGGCCTTCTCGGGAAAGTGGTGGCCCCAGTGGCCCCCGAGGGCCACTTGTGCGCCCCGCGGAATCCTGGGAAGTGGGGGCGACCCAGCCTGAGGTCGCCAACGCTGGGAACCCGGATTTCAGCCGGACGGCGCCAGCAAGCGCAGGGTTTCCCGCGGGGTGCGTGGCGCACGCCTCGGCCTGCAAACCCCTGCGGGTACCCGGCCTCAAAACACCCGCCCTGCGCGCCCCCGCCCCACGGGGAACCTGTTCCTTCCAGGGGCACCTCCAAAGACGACCTCCTTGAGCGGGGCAGGAAGGCGGGTTCGGGTCCCACCCCAGGCGGCCCGAAGCTTGTGCGCGGCGGGGAGCGGGAAGGCCGGGCTGCTGCAGCTCCAGCCGCGTGTTCTAACTCCCGCCAGGGTCTGGGCACCGCGTAAACCGGACATCGGGAACAGCAGGAGGATGGTGGGAGGATGTGCAGGGAGGGGTTGGCCCGGAGGGCGGGATGCGGGTGTCAAGCCTGGCCACCTGAATACTCATCGGAGCGCTGCGTCCGGCCTGGCCTGCCCAGCCGGCACTGCCTTTTCCAGAGGCCAGAAACCCGCCGCGACCCTTTCAATGGATGGGTTCTCCAGCGATAAACCAGAGTTCGGCGCGGCCTGATTTAGTTTCTAATAATAGTCCTCACTTTGCATGGATGTTGGAGGGTTGTTTCGCTTCAGTTTGCTGTTTTTGCTGACCTTGGGCAAGTGGAAGTTCTGTTTTCTGTCGAGAAGCCACGTTGTTTCATTTTCTCCCTTTTCATTGTACAGTTTTGTTTGTTTCAGAGGGAGTCTCACTGTCGACCAGGCTGGAGTGCAGTGGTGCGATCTCGGCTCGCTGCAACCTCGGACTCCCGCATTCAAGCGATTCTCCTGCCCCAGCTTCCCGAGTAGCTGGGACTACAGGCACCCCCCCACCACGCCTAGCTAATTTTTGTATTTTTAGCAGAGACGGGGTTTCACCATGTTGACCAGGCCGGTCTTGATTTATTGACCTCGTGATCCACCTGCCTCGGCCTCCCAAAGTGCTGGGATTACAAGCAGGAGCCATGGTACCTGGCCAGTATTTTTTTTTTTTTATAACTCCAGCCACCTCTTTACTCCCACTGAAAAATTATACACAAATGACAGCCCTTATCATCTGTTTAGAGTGACACTTTTTGCTAAACTGTCCTGCCTGCTGGTGGCCCCGGGGGCTGTGGGCCCTGCAGGGATGGAGGCTCACCGGGCTGTCCTAGGGCTGCACTGGTCTCCATCCCAAAGGAGGGATCTGTGGGGCGGCTGCCCTCCCCTCCCCCCAGTGCTGGCCTTCCTGCAAATGCTTCAGAGCTATTGGTCTATATTCAAAGTTGCCCGTTTCTTAGACACTGGGTGTCTCCACGGAAGTGTTTAGCTTGGATACATCCTACCAGAGGCTGGGGATGTCTGCGGAGGCAGAGACCCACTGGGTGTGATTAATCGGGGTGCCAGCGCCTTGCCACTTTCTAATCTGGACTGGGAAACAACGCCGTGAAGTGGCAGAGAACAGAGTGAGCTTTGTTTGCCCCAGCCCGTGAGGCATTCTGTCTGGAGCGACTTCTGACTGGGTGGCTGCCTACAGGCCTGCACCTCTGCATTCTCCGTGAGGAAGCAAGTCTAGGCCATCAGCAACCGCGGTGCCTAATGAGCTTCCACCCAGATGAGCCCGAAACCGAGGGACTCGGGGGAGGCGCCCAAGTCCTCAGATGGGCCAAGGACGGCCTCGTGGGGCCTACTCAGAAGGACCCAGAGCTTTCCCGGTGGCCTCAGCGATGGCCGGTGTTGACGCCACGCGTGCCCATGCTGGCCTAAGTTAAGGACTGGATCTCACTTTCCTGCCGGCTCAGTCTGCAGCCCTCATCAAATACCGCAATGTCAGGTAGGGGCTCACAGCCGGAGCCACTGCCTGGCAGCGGGGCCTTTTCCAGCTGCTTTCCTTCGGTAGGAAACACGAAAAACAGCCACTATCCTCGCTGTTTTTTTTTTTTTTTTCCCATAGGGTAAAAGGGCTCCTTATTAACTACAGGTCGGGCACTGGCTCTTCAGGTACCTAGATCTGAACTCAGAAAGACCTGCCTTTCTGAAAGGAGTGAGCATGAACGCCGGGAATAAGTGTCCCAGGATTTAAAACCGAAACTCCAACAAGAAACATTTTAAAACTCTGCTACTAGCAAGATCACATTGTGTAAACATCGACACAGGCCATGATGTTTAAACATGCAAACTTTTTCTAACGTCGGGATGAAATGTTGAGCAGCCTGAGCCGCATCTGCCTCCCGCCTCGTAAGGCTCAGGACACTGACCACTCGGATCCCCTCCGTGGAGCTCATGGCCCAGCGCTCAGCTCTGCTGAGACCAGCGAGTTCTCCGGAGCTGCGGAGCCCAGTTCTCCAGCAAGCCCCGCAGTGATTAGCGTCGCGCAGAAAGAGGCAGCGCTCGGAGGGACGTCAGCCCTTATGAAATGCACAGATTGGCAGGTGTGCCGGTGCTCTTTAAGAAAATCACATAAAATATTTTAGAGCTGGTGAGGAATCTGGAAAAGCGTCTCCCAATTTCCATTAGCATTTGCACCCCCAATCCCTGACTAGGACGCTCACATCTCTCCCGGGGTATTTTCAAAGGCACCTGCAGGAGCCCACCCGGCCTCCCCAGGGGTGTGTGGAGCGGACGGATTAAAGGGAGGGGGCTGGAACGTGAGGCTCCGCTGCAGGGGGCTCTCAGCGCCCCCGACACCCGGTTTCAGGGACCCACATGGTGCCGCCTTTTTTTTTTTTTTTTTTTTTTTTCTCCGCTATAAAGAAGCAACTTGAAACTTGGTGGCCCCTTTTCAAACTTGCCTGAAACATCTTCTCTGGCTGGAACTCTTGCGAATAGCGTTTCAAAATGTCTTAAATTCGGGGGTGTGCTGCGGCCGCGCTTTGGGTTCTGCAGGTTCAGGCGCCGGCGTGACGGGCTCGGCCCTGGGGCGCTCGGGAGCGCAGCGCGGGGGAGAGGCGGCCCCGAGCTCAGGGTGGGGGTGGGAAGGTGCTGAACCCCAAACCGCGCTCTTGGTGCCAAAGGGTGGGCCTGCCTCGCTCCGTAGGACACAGGGCATCCTTCACTCCCAAGGAAGCCTCCCTTCCTCCCACGTGTCCTCTGCGGTCCCGCCGGCCCCAGCCTCACCCGTCCCCAAATCGCCGGCCTGGGAGCCGTTCTTCGGCGGGACCGGCTGCGGCCCAACCGGCTGGCGCCCTCAGCGCTGGGGCAGAGGAGACACCTATTGGCAAGAAGGCGCGCTCGGAACCGGGTGCGGGGAGCTGGGGGACGCTGTTCCCGATCCGCACCGCGCCCTTCCCTGGGCTCCCAGACCCGGCCGGCCTCGCCCAGGGGCCGGGAACCCTCGGTGCGGGCGGCGGGAGCGGGGCGGGGGGCGCGGTGTTCCGGGGACAGCGAGCGCGCGGGGCTTACCTTCCTCCGCCGACTTCATAGTGCGCGGCGCAGGCCCCAAAGTTTCTCCGCTCCCGAAGACCGCAGCCGCAGGGCCGAGTGGAAACTTGGAAGGGACTGGAAAACTGGTGCTTGGCATCCGCGCGGCGGCGGGGAGTGGGGCGGCGGGAGGAGGCGCGGGAGCCGCCGGGGTCGGGTCTCCGGGAAAGGCAGCCCTCGCCTCGGACTCAGCGCCGCGCGCCCGGGAGGAAAGTCATTGGGGGGCGTGTGCGCGCGTGGCGGGGCCCGGCCGCAGCCCTGGGACCTGCAAGGTGGCTCCGACCCCTGCGCCCGCCGCCCTGGTGCCCGCGCCCGGCCGCTGGGATCTGGCGCGGCGACTCCGCGGGCAAGTTCGGAGCCTCTGAGTCTCGCTCTGACGCAGGGCCGCGCTCTGCCTCCTGCCTTTTTAAAGCTGGAAAACACCTCCCCCGCCTCCCCGCCAGCCCGGCGGCTCCCGCGCCCCCTCCCTGCCGTGACATCACGCCGCTGCTGCCCCGGCCCGCGCTGGGCCCCAGGGACTAGTCTCGGAGCGCCCGCCCCTTCTCCCCGCGCCGCGGCAGCCGCCCGCCCGGGGGCAGGGGCGCACAGGGAGGGTCGCGCGCGGGAGGGAGGCGCTCAGGAGGGGACGGGGGCGCACGGGGAGGGGCGCGCACGGGAGGAGTACGTTGGGTACGTTCGGGAGGGAACAGGGACAGGGCGCACGGGGAGGGGCGCGCACAAGAGGGGGCACACGGGGAGGGGATGGGGGCGCAGGGCAGCCTGGGGCCGTACAGGGGGGATACGGGGGCTGGCAGGGGAAACAGGGTGAACAGGCCAGACGGGAAGCCTAAGTCCACGCGGGTGTCCGGAGAGAGCCGGCCCTGCTTTGAAAAGAGGCGGGGGTCGGGGGGTCCGGGAGGGCTACCGCAAAAGCCCGACATGCTGAAGTCATTATGTAAAATCGCAGGCTTCCCCCGCTGTGGAAATTTGGAAAAGCGCTTCACTGGCAGGCCCTAGAAAGGAAATTCCCATCCCGCTAAATTACTAACAGATTGCGTGGCCGTCCCGGGACGTCGTTATTGTCATTTTTATTCTGCAAATATCTGCACGACCCAGACTGGCCGTGGCGGGGCCGTAGTGGGGAGGCCGAGGGACGCGCTCACCTGCAGGGGAGGACGAGTGTTTTACTGGCGCGACCGCGCGGCTCTGCGGGCGGGGAGGTCGGCCCCAGCCACTTCACACTTTCCCCTTTCCCGTCTCCCCGCGTCTCCCCAGGCGCAGCTCAGATGCCAACGCGGCACCGCATTTTCTTGTGGGCTTTGCATGGAGGGGGTTGGAGGCTAAAGTGTCTGGTGTGTAGAAATCATTAATCGACCGCACGACACCCTCATGTGATACCCAAAGGCAAAAATCTTGTCTGTGGCGGGGGCCTGGAGGTCCGCAGACCCCCGGGGGAGCACCGTGCCCCGTGGGTGCCCCCACAAGCCCCGCCCAAGACTCGGGAGAGGCCGGGTACGCGATCGGGAGCTGCAGAACCGTGAAGGTGCGCGGCCAGAGCCGTCCATCCGCAGCCCGAGGCCTGGCCCCATTCGGCCGCCCCGACTCAGCACCAATAGAACCCGCTTTTCCACCGCAGGCCTGGGCCTGGAGACGCGCGCCCGGAGAAGCGGGGTGGGGGCCATTTCCAGGGATCGCTACCTGCGGGGCCCCTTGCGCGCCGAGCCAGGCCTGGCACCGCCCGAGGCACCGGGCGTCAGGAGAGAAGGGGACCGCGCGAGGGCGCCCAGGCGGGTGGGCGGGGGTGGAGGCCTCGGGGGCTCCAGAGAGGCGGCCGCCAGGGGACGCCCGGGCCGCGCCCTCCCAGCCCCCAGCGCCAAACCTTCCCGCCGCGAGTCTCGGTGTCCCCAGGCCTGGAGCCAGGATTTGGCTGGGAGAATTTCCGTCCCCCTCCCCGCCCCTCTTCCCCCCACCTCTGGGACGGGGCGGGCGGAGACTCGCCGGGAGGAGGGAATCCCGGGGCCAGGTCTGGGGGACGCTCCCAGCCTGTCACGTGGGAGACGGAGACCCCGACCCTGCCGCGGGCCTCGAGCCGGGGACCGACCGGGCCTGGCTGCTCTTGGCTACCGAGGGGCCGGGACCGGGGCGGGGGCGGCCGCTCTTCCTCCTCCTCCCGCCCCTCCCCTTCCTCCGCTGCCTCCTCCTCCTCCTTCAATAAATAATTTTTTCACCCCTTGCAGAAAAGCTCCGTTTTCCTGTCTGCGCTGAAAGCCCTCCTTATCCCCCCGCCCGGGTGACGGAATCCCGGGTCTGTTTCTCTCTGTTTAATGCCGTTGCCGGGACCACGGTGGCCGCGCGCCAGGCGCTGGGAGTTCCGGAGGCGGCGGCCCGAGCGCGGCCAGCTCGCCCGGCCTGTGCGCCCCGGCCCGGCCTCTGCGGCCACCGCGGGCCCCGGCTCCGCCCGCCTTGCTCCCCGCGCGCCCTGCGCCCCTTCCTCTGCCTCCTGCCTCCTCGCAGGTTTGTTTATAGCCGCTACTAGGGGAGACGTTACACGGGTTTTATTTTAGGATTGGTGATGACTAACAAAGTTAAAAGGAGCTTAGGACAGAAAACAAGACTATTTTTAGATTACTGTTGTTTCTATGGATTATTGGGGCAAATACACCCCTAGAAGCTTACCGTTTTAAAAGCCCCTTGGGGTGCCAAATCCCTTCTCCTGCAGCGCGCTCGGGTATTCATCCACCCCGTCCAGTATTTTCTGGAGACTGGGCAGTCACTGTTGCTGGGGCTTCCTGACCTAACGTGTGAGCACCACTGCTGGGGAGACGCCATGCTGGCTGAGTGGCCCCAAAGCTCCAGCTCCGTCCCGTCCCGTCTTCGGAGGGCCGCTGCCACCTGCTCTGAGTGGGGCTTTCCACCCTCAGGAGTGCTCGGCACACGCGGCGCCGCGTGGGGCCCCCAGGCAGGTGCGTTGGCCAGGAGCGGGTGCGCCCACCCTTTTACTCCCTCCGCCCAACCGCAGGCCAGATGCAACTTCCTGCTCCGGAAAATCACTTAATACAATGCAGTTGGCTGCGAATGCTTTGTTCCTGCAGTTCTGCATTCTGGCCCACGGCAGCGGTCACTTTAGAGCTGCTCCCATGAGGGCCCTTTGAGGGTCTGACTCAACTCAGAATTCCAGTGTGGATCCACCCCCTTCTTCCTGAGGCACCTTCCAACCAACAGGGAAGGCCCAGGATGACCAGAGACTCCCCATCTGGAGAAATGGGCATTTATTCAGCCAGAGTCTGGGATTTAGGATTAAATTAGCAAACTGGAATTATAGAAAGGGCTATTTACTTTTAAGTAAACTGCTGAGTTTTTTTTTTTTTTTTTTTAAGTCAGTGTGAATGAACCTCACAGCCATGGTTGGAGCTCAGAAAGGAGGATTTCCCTTTAGTTATACACCTGTGTCAGCACCTTCTGAATTTCCTTGTAAGTCCGGGGTGTTCCCGAGGATCCACAAATTTGAGGGTCAGAGTTCCTACACCACGCTGTTACTTACGAAACACCTCTTTAACCGTGTCCTGGAGTTGCCCAAGAATTCAAGACCAGCCTGAGCAACATAGCAAGACCTCATCTCTACAACAAAATAAAATAAATTAGGCAGGTGTGGTGACATGTGCCTGTAGTCCTAGCTACTCAGAAGGCTGAGCCAGGAGGATCACTTGAGCTTAGGAAGTTGAGGCTGCCGTGAGCCCTGTTCATGCCACTGCACTCCAGCCTGCAAGACAGAGCAGAAAAGAAAGGGTCAATCAGGACCCTGGGCAGAGGGAGGGGAGGGGACTGGGGTCCAGCAAGCACTTGGTGATTGACTGGATGGGGCTGGGCAGAGATGACTCCAGTCGTGGAAGGGTGAGAATGACTGGGAGTGGCTTCTGGGTGAGAAGGTTCCTGGTTGGCCTCTCCAGGAGGGCGTGGGGGAGCTGAAGGACCCCAGCGGCCATGCTGAGCAATTGGGCCTTGATCGTGAGACCCTGGGCACACGTCTAGGGCAGGAAAGTTGACCGATCGATTGTGATCTGAGTTTTTAGACATGGTGGCACCACATGAAGTGGGCGTTCAGGCCAAGAATTTAGGCAGGGAAACCAATGAAGTCCTTAGCAACGCTCCAGGGAAAGTGCATGGCTACAGAGACTTTCACAAGTCACAGTGTGGTGCAGGAACTCTGACCCTCAACGCTGTGGATCCTTGGGAACGCCCCGGACTTTACAAGGAAGGTCATAAGGTGCCGACACAGGTGTGTAACTAAAGGGAAATCCTTTCTGAGCTCCAACCATGGCTGTGAGGTTCATTCACACTGACGTTTAAAAAAATCCTAGCAGTTTACTTAAAAGTAAATAGCCCTTTCTGTAATTCTGCTTTGCTAATTTAATCCTAATTCCCAGACTCTGACTGAATAAATGATGCCCATTTCTTGAAGTCCTTGGCCCAAAAGATCCTTGCACCTCAGGCTTCCAAAGTGCTGGGTTTGCAGTCCTGAGCCACTGCACCCAGCCCTGAGGCCTCGTTGAGAAGTCTGCTTGCCTCCTCGTAAGGCCCACTGTGGTTGCTAAAACAGAGGCCTCTGGCCTCACCCCGCCTGAGTTTGTTTTACGGTGTAGAACGCAACCCATCCTGGAGAATGTTACTTGTACTCTTGAGAAGAATGTGTACCCCGCTGTGGGTGGAGTGTGTGAGCTGCTCCTGGTGGCGCCAGTGGGTTTAGATTATTGTTCGTGTCTTCTGTTTCCTGGTTATCTGCCTAGTTGTTTTATTGTTTTGTTTTTTTTTCGACATGGAGTCTCAGTCAGTCACCCAGGCGGCAGTACAGTGGCACAATCGCAGCTCACTGCAACCTCCGCCTCCCAGGTTCAAGCCATTCTCCTGCCTCAGCCTCCTCAGGAGCTGGGACTGCACCATCACCACCAGCTAATTTTTATATTTTTTGTAGAGACAAGGGTTCACCATGTTGGTCCAACTAGTCTTGAACTCTTGGCCTCAAGTGATCCCCCCTCCTGAGCCTACAAAGTTCTGGGATTACGGCCTGTTGTGTCCATTATTGAAAGTAGGGCACCAAAGTCCCATTCTCTGTGGTAGAACTTTCTCCCTCATTCTGTAGAGAGTCCCCATTCTCTGTGGTAGAACCTTCTCCCTCAGTGTGTAGACAGTCCCCATTGTTTGTGGTAGAACTTTCTCCCTCATTCTGTTGAGTCTCCATTCTCTGTGGTAGAACTTTCTCCCTCATTCTGCCGAGAGTCTCCATTCTCTGTCATAGTACGTTCTCCCTCATTCTGTTGAGTCTCCATTCTCTGTGGTAGAACTTTCTCCCTCATTCTGTACAGAGTCCCCATTCTCTGTG